CGCCCGGCCTGAGATTCAAAAGACTTATAAGGGGCTTATTTTATTTTTCGGTGTTGTGGTTTTTCCTTTTATAGTTGATGAAATGCCAGGGTGAAAGGGATTGCCAGTTGGACAAGAGGGCCAGTGCCGCTCCAGTTACTTGGCAGAGTGTCCAGTAAAGGTCCACTACAATACCACCATACATCTGCTTGAGGATGACTAAGGGCAGACTGATGGGTAAGTTTTTGGAAGGGCTTAAGCTTATTGCATCTTGTTAAACTTCTAAGGAATGCTAAATTCTCCTTTTGTCGTGAGAGACACGAGGTGAAATTGATGTTGGGGGACGGACACTGAATGGCCTTTGGGGGCTGACCTGCAGGTTGTTGGACTTCAGGATATAGCAGAGAGAGAGCTTGGCATGCTTTGTTGCCCCAGGCTGTGGAATTTTGGAAAAGAGCTACCATACAGCCTATGCCTGGTCAACTGAAGGGCTATCCTAGTGGAAAGGAAACAATCCGGGCCTCTGGTCTGCCATGCGTCCAAGCATAACAATTGCTTTTGTTCAATGTGCAGACAGAATATTGAATCCATTCCAACCAGGCATTTACATCTTGATATCCTGTTTTAATTGCTAGGGTTTGTCTTAAATCTTTTACTTCTACAATATTTACTTTAGTATTATCATTAGGTAGAAAAGAGGTGGCAGTCTGATTAAAAGAAAGCTTAGAAGGAGAAGAGAAGGAAGGGGGTAAAGAGAATGAAAAATTAATAAAACGCACTTCGAAAGACCTTATGAGGTCTGTGCTGGCCAGTTGGCTCCTATGCTATAGAAGGAACTTAAAGTAGGTTTAGGGTCAGTAGAGGCAGAAATTTGTATGGGATTACATTGATTATACTGGCAATTGGGGGAGGTGCTTTTTTAGTGAAATGAATGTATGTTTTTTAGGATATACAGCCACTTGCTGATGAGGTCTAGCCTTGATATTTGGTTGTCCATAGGACATCATTCTAGCTTTGACAGACTTGTTTTCTTATATTTGTTAAGGAATAAGAGTCTTGGTAGGGGGAGCCTTTCACCTTAAAGGGACAGAGATACTTTTCTGAGGCTGAGACTTGTCTTTGACTTTGGAGATCTTTACAGGGTATGACTAGACATAGCATTAAACGTGATAACTTGGGGTGAGTTTGATTGAGTTACATTAATGACAAGGTGGTCAGCATTAGAAGGGGAAAAGAAGAAAGAGTAATAGAATAGATGGAAGAGAGTTAAATTTTTCTTAGCTTTAGTTTGAGGGGGTTTCCCCCTGGAATAATGGCCTACAATTTTGGGGGTGGCGGTGCTTTCTTGATTCGGGTGTGATGGGTCTATCCTTTCTCTGCTGTCCGGACTGCAGTTTCAATGGTGGGAAGTACTAGGCCGGCTCCTCGGGCTGGTGTTGATGTACTGGGAACTCTAGGGGAGGCACCTGCACTGGAAAATTGTGTTTTGAGGGAAGAGAAAGTGGAAGATAAACCAAGTATGTAGGAATGTTGGCAGTGGATTTTTTTCTGGTAACTGAAGGTTATTTAACATTTGGGTGATTAACTCTTCATGAATAAGGCTTTGACCTTTATTATTAATTGTCTGAAATTTTCTAAATGTATGAACCACCATAAAGGCGTATTTAGAATCAGTGTAGATTAGAATAGATGGTTCCTTTGCAGGTACTTTAAAGCTTGACTAAGTGCAAACAGCTTACAGATTTGGGTCAACCAATTATTAAACAATTTTTAAAATTTTATTTCTCTAGGGACTTCTCTGTTAATTATTGAACATCTGTTGAATCCTTTTTTCTTTAATCATTTTTGAAGGGGGTTTCTCTTAAGTTTGGCCAGATGTTTGCATGGTAATCAGTTCAATCTAAACATGTGTGCTTCCTTTTTAGATTTGGATCTTTCTTTAAGAAACTTGTTAGGTTAAGCAAATTACTAGTAATGTTAAAGTATCATTTTCAACAGAGTAGCTTCATATTTATACACATGCAATTCTTTTTTGGTGGTACATTTTAATATAACTGACTTTAAAGAATCAAAGTTATTTTCTGGTGGATATTTTCACTTTTAACACTGGCCTGACTATAATAAATGCTAGTGGATATATCAGCTGAAAGATTATCTACTTCTTGCTTAGGAAACTTAGCTGCGGGGATGCCAGGCTGCTTGGAGCCATGGCTGAAGCCCCGTATTACTCGACCTTGGCAAAAGTAAGGCAGATATCCTATAATGTAGTTTGCATGGGGCATAGGCTGGGGCCTGGCTCGCATGTCATGCAGAGCCGCCGTCAATACAGTGCCGGGACCGTGGACCAGCCAGTGGCCAGGAGTATGGGCTTTGCCTGCCACAGGGGTACACTATGGGCCAGACAATGCTAACAACATGTTGCGGCAGATCCTTCATGTTGCTAGCCTGGCAGAAGCCATCTGGTGAATTAGGAGCTTGGAGTTATTTAGGGGAGAGGGACGTAGGCTGGGGAAGAACAGACTTATGGGGCAATGCCTGAGGGGAAGGGTTGGGTATATTAGGTGAGGAATGGTCTAGGGGATCTTGCGTATTGTTCTTTTTGCTAGGAACCCCTGAGCCCCTTCCTTCACTGTCTTTTTCATTCAAGATGGTTCTATCTTAATAGGGCACATGTATAACTAATTTTCCTCCAAAGATTAGTTTTTGACTTGCTTCTTTCAATCCTTGGAGGAGGGGAAAGGACAACTCCTTGCCACTAACATAGGGCATAATCTATTTCTTCTCGGGAGGCAGGTCTTCTACTAGCAACATTTTCTATTAGAAGTTCACAAATCCATCCCTCATTTGACTCAAATTCTGGCCAGAAAACTAAGGGTTCAAGGATTAGTTCTTGAGTCTAAAAGGAACAGCAATATTTTATCATTAATTGCTTTTTCTTATGTTTAGCCTTTTCATTATCTTTCTAATATTTTAACATGAGGTCTAGGGGACTATTGGGGATATCTTTGTTGCTAACTTTATATTTTTTGCTTGTAATATTTCCTATACTATTTTTTGCTTGTAATATTTCCTATCCTGGCTAGGCTCAATCCCTCGTAATAGGAATCTCTTGCCTAGGGGGGCTTGTTGTGGCTCAACCCCTCATATTAGGGATCTCTTGCCTATTTGGGGGGTTCCTTGTGGCTCAACCCCTCATATTAGGGGGTCTTTTGCCTATCCTTCACTGGAAATGTTGCTAAGGCTCAATTCGACTATCCTTTAGCTCCACCTGCTGGAGGTTCGTTGCACTCTTCTTTCGCTTCATCCACTCTGGCTGCTTCCCTCGCAGGTTTGTTTCAGATTCCTCTTAGCATTGATGGCAGGTCAGTATAAACCTGTGACAGGACCCCCGAAGGGCTGCCCTAAGCCGTGTGAGGTGAACACAGAACCGCAGACTGGACCCACTCACTCCGCACAGCAGTAGTGCTTGTTACCATTCATGCACTTTCAACCCCCAGAATGCCCTGACACACCCCTCCGACTACCAAAGAATTACTTTGTTGCCGACGTTTCCCACCTTGGTCTGTGCACAGAGTTTACCTGGTCGCCGCGGTGTTGCAAGCCTCTCTTCCCCGCGTTGCTGACAGTCCGGGTTTATTCGTCAAAATGGGTGGGTCTCGATCTCCTGTCCCTGAGGCCACCGCAATGGGGCAGTGGGACGCGTCTCCCCAGGTTAGGGTGACCGAAGAACCCTTCCAAAAGGAGAATGGGGATCCCGGACGATCCCCCAGAATTGCTGGATATAAAATGCTCCCGGAATAAATGCTCGGTGCCGTGAAATAAAACCAGCACTCAGGCAAAAGTTTAATTCTCTCAGCAAGGCAATTTACTACCGCAGAACGGTGCCACTTGCATCAGTGAAGATCATAAGAGCACAGAGAACAAAGGAGACCAGCAGGTTTTTATCCTTAATGCAGTCCCTATCTCTGTGTCACTCCTTCATGGGCTGGGGTTGGATGGCACAATCTGAGCTGACCCGATTGGCTACTTGGGCTACTTGTACATATTTTTCTAAATATAGAAGAGGAGGGGGACATGAGGTACAGAGGTGGAGCCTGTGAGACATGCAGTTTCAGGGGAACAATGGGTACAGGTAACCGAGGGAACAGATGTGAGTTACTGATTAGAGCTGATGAGAAGGGGGTAGACTGTTTTAAAGTAACTAGGGGCAAGGAGGAACAGGAAAGTTGAGTTTGAAAACAAAAGACAAGGAAGTTAGCAGGCTAATAAATCTTTAAAGAAAAACTCAAAGAAATTCACTGTATCTTACAAATGGGACCCCAGAGGCCCCATGCATGTCAAACCCCAAACACTGCCCAGAAGACAGCCCCGGGCTCCAGAGGTACAACACTAGAAAGGACAGAACTCCCACACGTACGTGTGCATGTTGGTGTTATGCTTTCCAGGGCTCTTCAGCTTCTTGGAATCCACACTCCTTCTGCAGCTGCTTTGAGCAGCTGGAGGCCACCAGTAGGAGAGGGAGGGTTGCCCGGAAGCCCCCCGGAGCTCCCTTTCCCTCTCTTGGCAGGCTCCAGACTGGCCTCAGTGTGGTCACCGACCTCGGGCTCTGCTGCCCCCTGCAGGTTATTCAGCTACTTCTCACCCCGTTGATCAGTTCCATGACACAAACATCCTCAATCCCATTGTGTGAATAAGACACCAGCACAGTCCCTGCTCTCCTCCTATGTTTATGTATAAAGTGAGGGAGGAAAATTCTAAGATAACGTAAGTGCATTTAAAAGATTTCCAGATCATGGTGGAGGTGGCAGCTGAGGGACCCGCGTTCAGTGACACTGCAGCACCTCCAGGCCAGGCTGGTCGGAGAGAGGGTGGAAAGCTGGAGATGGATGTGGACAGGTGGAGGGAGCAGCCCAGGAAACTGGGATCTGCAGCAGCGCGGCTCTAAGGCCCAGAGCCCGGGAGAGCAGAGATGGGGGCTCTCGGGACAGCACATTCGGGGAGGAGAGAGTTGGGCGGTTTCCATGGGACGGGGGTGCTGTGGCAGCTGGTGTGGGCCAGTAGCTATCATAACTAAGCCCGATTGGAACGTGAAAACTTGGATTCCGTGGGAATTTATGAAAAGGAAAGCTCTGATGACAAAGAAGTCATCGATGAGGAGGGGGATGAGGGTCACTGGCAAGCTCGCCCCCTTATGGAAAGAAAAGTGAACACTCAACTACTGCTGCAAAATGGGGTCAAAGGATGAGACTCTCACTGTCAGGGAACAGACTGCTGCAGAAGAGACTGCAAAGACCTTTCGACAACAGCCTGGGAGGCCCAGTGCTGTGGATCATGCCTGTAAACCCAACATTTTGGGAGGCCAAAGTGGGAGGATCACTTGAAGCCAGAGGTTGGAGACCACCCTGAGCAGTGAAGTGGGACCCTCCCATCTCCATGAAATTTTTAAAATTACCCAGGAGAAGTGTGTGTACCTACAGTCTCAGCTACTCAGGAGGCTGAGACAGGACGGTCCCTTGAGCCCCAAAGTTTGAGGCTGCTGTGAGCTGTAAATGGGTACTGCACTTCAGCCAGGCACTGTCTCAAAACAAACAAACAAAATAAAATAAAAATCCTACCAAACTCCCTGCGGAAACGCTGACCCCGCTTGATGATCTAAGTGCAAAACACAGCAGGTGGTGACATTTCCTTATGGACTGGATCATTCCAGCCACATAAGAGGCTTGGACTATTGAGGATTTACCAGGAGAGATGGCCTCCTTGCAGTCAATGGAAAGGGCCCTGGTAAAACCATCCCTTTAAACTTTATCAGATTCATCAGGGAGGAAGGGAGGAGGAAAACGTTAACCAAGCTTGCAGCACCTCCAGCATTAGTCATTGGGTCAGCTTGTTCTCTGACGTTCCTCATATTTGCTTCATACCTAGTGTCCTAGAACCCCTTACACCCTAAATGATAGTTCCTGTTAACTGCTCTATAGGTAACAACTTGAACATTAGATATTTTCCCTTTGAATTTCCCTTCGAAATATTTCCTTTTCAGGGCGGGGTGCATTGGTTCATGACTGTAATCTCAGCACTTTTGGAGGCTAAGGTTGGGGGATCACTTGAGCCTGGGCATTCAAGAACAGCCTGGGCAATAGAGTGAGACTCCATCTGTACAAAAAAATTTAAAAACAGTCAGCATGGTGGCATGTGCCTTTATTCCCAGCTACTTGGGAGGCTGAGGCAGGAGAATCCCTTGAGCCCAGGAGTTTCTGCAGTGAGCTATGATCCCACCACTGCACTCCAGCCTGGGAAACAGAGCCATACTATGTCTCTTAAAAAACAAAAAGGAAAAAGAAATCCAGACATTTGTTGGTCTTCAGATTATTGGAGAGCATTATCTGACACTTAGCCCATCGTTTGATACCAATATGCAGAATTATTAGAAAGGACTGGGACACAGCTCTGCAGTTAATGTGTTAGTATGCTGACGTACTAACTTCAGCAAGACACAGTCTCAAAAAAATAAATAAATAAAATTAAAAAATCCCACAAAACTCCCTGGGCATGGTGGCTCATGCTTGTAATCCTAGCACTTTTGGAGACTGAGCTGGGAGGACTGCTTGAGAAAAAGAATTAGAGAACAGCCTGGGCAACATAGCATAATCCTGTCCCTATTATTTAAAATTCTAAATAAAAGTCTGAAAAGCAGCATTTCCCACCTACTCTCTCTGAGGGAGCCTTCATCTACGTAACAAGGACTCCTTAGCAACACAGAAGGCAAGCTTCTTCCCTTTCTCTTCCCTAATCTGTCTTGCCATTAAACCTGACTTACCCACCAAATCTGGGATTTTTTGGCCAGCCACATCTGCATTCTTTCCTGGCCTCAGAATGGTATATAAGCTTTTTTGTCTTATTGTTCGGTGGGTCTTCATTCTGAAGGCTCCCATATATAAATGTTAAATAAATTTGTATGACTTAATCCAAGCTCCATGATCTGAAAACATTTTTCCTGTCTTTTCACCTTATTTTATTTTAAAAAAGTGCAAGAACATGCATATCTAAAAATGAGCATTTTCGTATCTCAGAAATCAAGATATTTTTCATATATAACCAGAAAATGGTATTCGTATTTAATAATGCCTTAGTATCAACACACTGAGGGATATTAAAACATCATTAATAGTGTAAAGCAGAATTCTGGAAGTTTAGCTTTGAATACATTTCATTTTGTCGGTTAAACATTGAAGAGAGTGTGTAGTGTTAGGATATGTATTGGTTTTCATCCAGGGTAATAATGTTGGGTGTGTTAGGCCTCCAGGAAAGTCCTTGACCTTCTCCTGCCCTCCTTCCACTCTAATTTAGTTTCCCCACCTTTTTGATTGTGGGTCTTAAAACCCTCCCATGAGAGGGTCCCACTGACTTCATGAAGAGTTTCTTCCTAGATTGTAGCCTTGGAAATACTCATTAGATTCCTTATCTGTAGCTGTGTGTCTGAAGGTAGTTACAGCATAAACTACGAGTCTGAGGATTGCTTAAATAACTTATTTCTAAATGCTGAAACAAAAATTTCAGATGTGCTCCAGTGTCCTCTTTGGGGTGCTCCTTGGGCTCTTCGTGAAGCATCAAGACACCCCCATATCCAGGCCAATGTCAGGCTCTCCAGTGTGTTCTGTTCATCACCCTCACCCTGCACTTTCATTGTCACTGTCATTGACCATTCCAACACTGTGCTTGCATCCTGTGGAAAGTCACATTTGGGATCAAGTGAATTGTGTTCTTTCTACTCTTTGGTGAAAAGTATCAGGGTGTATTTGGCCTTCAAGGGAAAAGGATGAGACAGGGGTTGGATTCAGGTGCATCCAACTTTTTTTTTTTTTTTTTCATGAGACGGAGTCTCACTCTGTCGACTAGGCTGGAGAGTGCAAAGGTGTGATCTCAGTTCACTGTTATCTCTGTATCCAGGCTCAAGCCATTCTCCTGCCTCAGCATCCTTATTACTGGGATGACAGGCACACACCACGATGCCCAGCTAATTTTTGTATTTTTAGTAGAGACAGGGTTTCACCATGTTGGCCAGGCTTGTCTTGAACTCCTGACCTCAAGTGATCCACCCGCCGCAGACTACCAAAGTGCTGGGATTACAGGTGTGAGCCACCATGCCTGGCCAGGTTTCACTGCCCTGTCTTCCCTGCTCTGAGTCACTTTGTGTGATCTGACAATCAATGATTCCACCCTTCACTGATGTGGATACATTATCTGGGACTGGGTATGTCACCTCCACACACAGACAGCGTTTGGTCAGTGGCTGATGCTGCATCCTGTGGTGCCTGAATTTTGAACTTAGGGAGTTTTAAATAAGTGTTTCTGAAGAGCAGCTTCATTGGCACCTTAAAGGAAGTGACTGAATCGGTCTATGCCATTGCATAATATGTAAAAGAAACTTTTCCATGTTGCTGTTAACTTTACACTGCTGACATAAGCAGGCTGTTGACAAGTTAGCATCGACAGCACATTATCAGAGAAAGACAGGCTTGTATTTAGACAATTTACACAAATTTTTAGCCTCCTATGACTCAGTAAAGCAATTTGAAAAAATGTAGCTTTATAAGGCATAAACCAATTTATATGTTTTAACTAAGGTACTTTCTGGTAAACAGTGCCCATACATTTTAGGAAATATTTTAGTCTTTAGAGAATAAGTAAGGCAAAAACGGGTCCAGGAGTCTACAGATGACCTCCCCTCACCACAAGGTCAAGTCTTTTTTTTTTTTTTTTTTTGAGACAGAGTCTTGCTCTCGCTCTGCCACCCAGGCTGGAGTGCAGTGGCGCAATCTCGGCTCACTGCAAGCTCCACCACCCGTGTTCACACCATTCTCCCACCTCAGCCTCCCGAGTAGCTGGGACTACAAGCGCCTGCCACCACGCCCGGCTAATTTTTTGTATTTTTTAGGAGAGACGGGGTTTCACCGTGTTAGCCAGAGTGGTCTCAATCTCCTGACCTAGTGATCCACCTGCCTTAGCCTCCCAAAGTGCTGGGATTACAGGCGTGAGCCATCTCACCCGGCCCTAAGGCCAAGTCATATTTTGTGTTATTTTTGAGATGGAGTTTCACTGTTGCTGCCGAGGCTGGAGTACAATGGTGCCACCTCAGCTCACTGCAACCTCTGCCTCCTATATTCAAGCGATTCTCCTGTGTCAGCCTCCTGAACAGCTAGGATTACAGAAGCATGCCACCACGCCCTGCTAATTCTTGTATTTTTAGTAGAGACGGGGTTTGATCATATTGGTCAGAATGGTCTCGAACTCCTGACCTCAGCTTCCCAAAGTGCTGGGATTACAGGCGTGAGCCACCATGCCCAGCCAAGGCCAAGTCTTTTACTGTTGGAGAGACACGTCATATACCAGGCGTATGAGACGATGCTCCTCAGTGACCATGATGAATCAGGACAAAAACAAGGGCATTTTGTAACTATATTTCTAAATGTGACAAAGGAAAACATATTTCAAATCATAAACATGACCAAAATTTTTCTCTTCTTACTAATGTGACTTGTAATTCTCATACATCTCACAGTCATTTATGGCTTTTGGTCATCTTTATCACTATGGTATATTACATCCTTGCTGACAGCAGGTATGGCACTGCTGGTTTTGGAGAAGGCGGCACTCA